AACAAGATAGTAGAGAGACCATCAAAGCAAACTACAGGAGAGTTCAGGTCGAGTCATGCCAGAGTGCTGTTTGCAGCTCGCAGCTGTATTAGCACTGGTTCCGCCTTGCGCAGCCGGGGTTCCCTTTTCATTCTCAGCGAGATGAATGTCACAAGGCACCATGTGAACCCCCCTGGGCTGCTCCTCGGGCAGGACCCAACTCAGCTGTCCTCTGTCTGCCTCCCTCCTCTCTGTAGGCGGGGGAAGTTGCTCCCTATCATTTCAACTGTTTCTGCAAAACAGCAAATAGACCTTTGAATCCGCTAGTAAATCATCCAGCATTTTAATCAAAACTACCAGTTTGATGTGACAGAACTTTTAGATGTACAGGTTTCAAAGTATTAGCTTTCTTCCCTTTTTTTCATACTTAAATCAAAATACAAGTACTGAAGAATAAGAAAAGAATATATGCTCTTGTCTCTGTCTGCTAGCTGGGCTTCCTTGTTTACTCCCTGAGTATGCTAAACCGAAGTCCTATGGTAGAATTCTCTCCTCCACACTCAGGTGGAATTAGAGCAGGTCTTACGATGCTGTCCCCAGACTTAGAAAAAGATGGTAAGTGTCCTGGGAATTCCGATGTGCAGCCAGTGTTTGAACCATGGCACCGTCCCCTATATTGGAGATAAGGAAATGAAAGCCACAGATAAAGCAGATGGAAGCCCAGGGCCCTCCTGCCAGCATCAGCAAGGCCCAGTCTGGAAGGGCCAGCATCCTGTGCTGTCTCATCTCGACTTCCTGTTTCAGGAGACTTTGAGGGCAGGTGTCCTGCTCTGGCTCACTGACTCAGCAAATGCTGTTGCAGATCTTCTGTGGGCCATGTGCAGAAAGAATAGAAGTCAGATGGTGCCTGTCCACTGATGAGTTCAGGACGGTGAGGAAGACAGATGGGTAGTAAACTAGAATGGGGCTCCAGTTGTGTTGGAGCTCTGTGCGATCGCAGAAGAAGGAGGCAAATCCAGGGGAGGCACCGAGAGTTGGGTATGGAAGTATATGGAGTTACCCGGGAGGACCAGCATGTCGGGCACACTCCAGGACACAAGTGTGTCCCAAGATGGGAAGGTGACCTCCTGTGGCTGGAGTGGTGGGTGGATGCGGTGATTCAGTAAGGAAGATTGGAAACATGCTTGGTGATGACACTGATTTTCCTAATCTGCATTTCACAGATGACATTTTGCATTTGCCGTTATTGCTTAAATAATGGAACTGTGACCCCTTAAAGGGCCTGTTGGGCCTGTTACCTTTTGGTGGCAATCTGAACAGATTCATGTGGCCGATTTGGGGGTATTTCAGAAAGGCAAGGAATGCTCACTTCATGTATATTTGGCATTTTTATTTTCATCATAGTTGGAACTAGGAAGCACAACCATGAAAATTTAGAAAGAAAAAAGAATGGAGTCAGGCAATTTAGGATTTAGTTTAAGAAATGAATATCTACTGCAGAAACCAGACATCTTCAAGTTGACAAAATACAGTCAGTCCAACCTGTACTGGGCCAACTGTATTTTGTCTTCTCAGTTTACTGAGCTCTCTACTAGAGATTTATTTTTATTTTTGCCTTTAAAAAGTTATCATATTGCTGCGAAGGAATGCATCCTAATTTAGGTAATTAGTAAAAAGAAAAATTATACTCAATTTTAGAAACTTCACTCAGGGAGCAACTTCCTTGAATAGGAAGGCATGAAAGCCTTTTGTGTTTGTTTTTGTCTTGTATAACAAATGATTCTCCTTGCAAAGGGCCGAATTGCGCTACTGCATGGTGGTGGAACATGAGCCCAGGACCCGGCGGCTCTTCCTGGGATACTCCTGATATCAATCTTGCAGCCCATTCAAAGGAGAGCGGGAGTCGGAGCTGGTCTGTGCCAACCTCCCTGCTGAGAATTAGCCTAGTTTCATCCTGTGTGGGGAGCCCCTAGCTCACCAACCTTGTCTGTTTGGGGTGCACAGATAGAGCTGTGCAGTTCTGCAGGTAGGGCAGAGTTAAGAAACCACAGCATGGGAACGCTGTCCCTTACTCTGATAATGAGCCCTGCATGGAGAAGCTACAAACAGAACAGGGTTTCTGCCATTCTGCTCTGGTGAAAAACTATATCTGCTGCATGAGACAAGAAAAAGAGAATTGTGGACAGACTCTCAGAGCAAGCAGGCGCCCAGAGCCTTATCTGTCTTTTGTTAATGCCTCGAATTAACCAGAAGGTGAAGGGAAACACTTGTTGCTTGGCCTTCATTCTGCAGATAAAGCTGCTGAGATCCTGGGCTCGGAGCTTTCCCAGAGTGGCTTTCCCAAGTTGAAATTCATGGGGAGCTAAGCTGGAGTTCAGGGTACCTAGGTCTTCTGAATCCTCTGGATCAAAATGTAGGCTGTAAAGCCACATGTGGTTATAATTAGCCAGGTTGTCAGCCAGGGCCCAGAAGGAATAATGGGAGTGCTTTGTGGAACCATTTCTGACTGAAAAAAAAAAGATGACAAACTCAAAACTGGGCCTTCACACCTTTGTCTTCCATTCTATGTCATTTACAGGATTTAGTCTTTCAAACTGTGTGCTTATCTGTTTTGTTACAAATTGCCCGTTTTATCAGAATAGGCATGAGTCTCATGTTTGTCAGTATCAGCTTGACCTGTAGGCCTTCCTTACCCACCATGCCCTCTTACCTTCTGCTCATGTAGGAAGGGCTAAGTATGACCAGCATATCACATACCTCCAAGGAACCACACTTCAACTTTTCCATCAAAGAAGAGTTGATGAGGTCCAGCCCTGTGTCCTATAACATGATCTTAGGTTTGCAATCCCCTTGATTTTGACTTTGGAAACCTTGTATGGGGTTTGTGTAATGTGCAAGCTTTACCTGTGCTGGACCTACTGTATTTTGTCAACAGGTTTGTCAGAGCCAGTTCTTCTTGGACTCTTTGCTTTTAAACATGTTAAGAACCTGCTGGTTTGGGGCAGCATCTCTTTTCCCTTCATAGTAATGATAATGAGGACTGCTTCCTGCTCAGGGCCACTTCACCTCCCTCCACTCCCAGGGAGGATGCATGAGTAGTAATATGTTTTCCAAAGAGAGTTTGGCCTGGAAACCAAGAGTCCCAGGAGAAGACATGTCACCTGTGACCCTGTGGTTGGGGAGGGTTCTTGCTTTCTGCTCCATTTCTACAGGTGAGGACCAGAATGGTCTGACTCTGGGTTATAGCAAAGAACTATGGAACTAGAATTTAACCTGTTCAGACCTAATATTAACTTAGAACCAGTTTTTTTTCTAAGTGGACTGCAAAGCTGGCCATGCTTATTGAGCTCCTGTCAGGGTGACGTGGAAGTCCTGTTAGGTCTGAGTCTCTTGTTGGCAAGGAACTAAGCTCAGCACTATACCTGGCACATAGAGGAACTGTGAATAGTGTTGAGTGAAGGAGACTAGCGAAGACTGGGGTTTTCCTGTGTGTTCCATCCTGAGGCCACTCCAGCAGGAAATACTCGTCCTACCACAGAACGCATCCTATTTATTCTCTTGGGGATGAGCGGCAACTTTACTTTCTTCCAGAGAGGAAGGGAAAGGTGTTACTCAGCTGAGATTTGCCTTACAGTGTTGAGCATTAATTTGCTTTCTAAGGAAAGACTGGCAAAGCACTGATACTGGAAGAATTATTCTTAAGTATTCTCCTCTGATAACCACATGTGGAGCGAGACTTGTATAGTTACTGTACGGTCAAGAATGTCAGTGTGTAGTGTGGTGTGGTACAACTCAGGGAGCAGGGCTAACAGAACTGTAGGCCGGCTCTACCTGCTCCAAATGTTTAGTCAGTATCCTACTGTGCATAAAACAAGTACACCTCATTTCTTCAATGTAAATCTGAAGGCACAATAAAAGTTTTGTAACTGACATTTTGTGACAATGATTTGTGCTGAAAATAGATGATTTTTCCTACTGTTTCAAATCAGTTTGGAGCACAGCAAGATTTGGTGGTGTGTGGCTCAGCCTAGGAAAGAATGAAGGGAGGAGGGAAGGGAAGGAGAGGGGTGATCCCCAGCTTGGGGAGGGGAAGGTGAGGCGCAGGGCAGAACAGCCATGCCCTGGCCAGCCACAGGGGGTGTGCTGGAGCACATGCAGTCCCTCAAAGGGTCCATGCCGGGCTGTAGGGCCAGCGCCTTTACACCACTGCCGCTGGCAGTGGGTTGTATGGGAGACCCAGGGAGGACCTCCCGTTAGACAGGGAGCTCTTTTTAACTGAAGCTGACCCTGAGGGAGCCAGCAGCTGTGAGCCTGTCCTGACAGTGCTCCTCACTACTGAAGCTGAGTATGTACCCTGTATCCCTCTCCACACTCAGCTTCATCACCAGTATGAGTCTACTCCATGGCAAGTGCTTTCTCCAGACCCACCCTCTTATTTAGTTGACTTTTCTATGAACAGGAATTTACAGTATGGCACAAACAGAGACAGATTCTCAGCTACCTAGAGTCCTTTCACTGTAGCCTCAGGTCGAGATGAAGGTGTGATATTGATAGTCTCTTTGGGCCATATGATGAAGCCCCCTGCCGCCATTTTAGATCTACGTGGACACTCATTTCATCCTTATGATGTCTTTCAGGTGGAGCCAGGTGGTGGCTTTTCAGAGGCCAGAGTTCTAATCTAAAGGCCACAGTGAGGTGTTGGAAATCCCTACTCACATTTTGTTTGCCATTTATCTTTCAGGAAATCTTTTGGTGATTGAGATTCCAGACTCAACTCTCATTGCCTTGTGTCTTCCACCAGGAAACTAATGTGTCCTCCAGGTCACTCCACTGTGGTCATTCAGCTGCCTGATGTCTTGGTCACCCACACTGGCCACACAAGTGGTACCTGTGGCATTCAGTGGGGTCTTTGCCTTTTAGGATCAGTGACTGCTGCAACTCATTGTTGCCCAGAGCAGGCTTTGACCACCAGCTATGTCAGCTGCAAGGTGTGTCAACCTCTCTTCCTTCTTTTCTTTCAGGTTGGAAAGCTTATCCAAGAAGCAGCTGGAAGAAGTAATTTGAAGAGAGTAACTCTGGAACTTGGAGGAAAAAGTCCCAATATTATTTTTGCAGATGCAGATTGTGAGTCAACCATAGAACTCATATATATTCCAGCACACTGCCCTTTGGTGCTCTCTTTTGTATCACCACTTGTTTTGTTTTTTGAGACTGGGCTTCACTATATAGTCCAGGATGACCTTGAACTTGCTATCCTCCTGCCTCAGCCTCTTGAGTGTTGGTATATTTCCTCTCTTGATAAGACACTAAGATCTTTGACAATAAGGGCAATCAAAATAACTTTATGAGAGAAAATAAATTAACATTGGGGAAAGGGCCTTTATTAACTGAGTATCACACAGAGTTTGTTTTAGACACTGACAAGGGATTTTGATTCTGTGATGCTGTGGAGTAGGGTAGAAGAGGTAAAGCCTCAGTCAGCAGATATAGCGGAGGGAACAGTGTTTCAAGCCTGCAGACAACTGAGGTAGGGTCTCTCTGCCCACATTCAAAAAGTCTAAATTCTTAACCGGGCCTGGGAGCTGGTAGATTGTAAATAAATTGTAAATAAATTGTAAATAAATCCTACTCACTAACCCTGCCAACATTTTCACAAACCCAGCCATCCCAGCCCTTTCTGCTGCTCCCAGGACTTTAGCAAGGATGACAACGCACTCAGGTCCATTCTGTGGGGATGGACCTCACCAGGAGGACTTTACGGAAGCTCAGAGCAGTAACCTAGGAGACCCACATCTCCCGGAAGGAGGCAATCTAGGCAGGCTGCACAGGTGGGGCTTTCTGTTTTGGAAAGCTCTCCAGGGAATGAAATTCCAAAATCTCATTCAGTCATTCTTTCCTTCTTCACATCCTCCTCCAGGCAGAGCTGCTTTCCCAGTTCCACCAATGCAGAGGTCAGAAAACAGAAAGCAGATGGCTTGAATCACAGCCCCAGCTTGGAATTTGCAGAGCTCAGCCTTAGCTTCACACTGGTTGTCAAGATCAGGTTTCCTAAACCTGTTCCTCTGGAGGATTGGGCACTGAACTGTCATGCTGCCCGTGCACTGATGGTCAGCCAGCTGTGTAGCACTGGCCTGAGCCACATTTATAAAGATGACTTTAAGTATAAAATATTAGAGATGAACAAGAAAAAAATTATTGCTCTGGTGCAATTCCATCTCAACAGAGAGGAAATTTAGAGTCTCCAAAGAGCCTTTGCTGACACAGCTTAACTACCAAATAAATACTAATTAGACGACAAGAGCCCATAAATCAGGGCCATAAATCGGCAGTCCATTGGTCAAATGTACCTACATATCTGTTGACCTGTCTAAACAACACACCATGGTGAAAAACAACATTGTACATTAATATGTTGATTGCTGGGTTTTTTTCTAATTATACAATGATTTAAAAATTTTTATTTTAAAGATTAAGCATCCTCATTGACAGTCCAGAAACAGCCCTTACTGATTTCTTGGACACACACTTAACACAGTGTTTTAAATGGAAAAGATCTGGCAAAGTCTCAGCTTGTATTCCTACATGATGAAGAGCCAAACGTAGTGGCTTCCCTTCTTGGTCTCTCTGTCACGGTGCCTGGTCCCTGGCAGAGTTGAACCTTTACATTATGTGCCCGGCCATTTTGCATAGTGGCTTTTGAGACTCCCATTGGGGGTGACAGAGTATCAGTCCCTCTATTTACAGAACAAGAAAGAGACTCAAAGAAGTGAAATTATCCCAGTTTGTATCATAAGTAACGTCAGGCTCTGTTAGAACTAGAACTGAGCTGTGATCTGAGCTGAGGGCTGTCTGTTCTCTGCTGCACCCTGGGATGACAGCAGGCAACACCTGGGGCTGAGGGGAGGGAGGCAGCTCCAGGGTTGGACCCACCAGGCAGAGCACGTGGAGAACGTGGCCACCTCCTCTTGCAGTGGACTATGCTGTGGAGCAGGCACACCAGGGCGTGTTCTTCAACCAAGGCCAGTGCTGCACTGCGGGCTCGCGCATCTTCGTGGAGGAATCCATCTATGAGGAATTCGTAAGGAGGAGCGTGGAGCGGGCCAAGAGACGCATAGTGGGGAGTCCCTTTGACCCCACTACCGAGCAGGGTCCTCAGGTAGAGAAATCCCCAGCACCGCTCTGTCCACCTCATCTCTGAACAGCCCAGACTCTGGGCATTTCCCTTTCCTGCTGCCTCTTTCCTCCTCTACCAGTCTTCCTGGCTGGAAGTGTAGCCCCCCCCCAGAGATACTGCTTACTTGTTATGCTTCTTTTCCTTTTCTAAATTTTACCTCTGAACCACTGTGGGTTTAGGGTTGACTTAAAGCTGTTTTGAACTTAAGGGGATGATTTGGAATCTGATAAGATGGCTCGTGACAGCAGAACTTACCCCCAATCCTTCTAACCCCCTACCTTCTGGATACCCCGACAGGTGCCATGGCAGAGAGAGCGAGCCTCTCCCCTTCCGGTCTGTCTGTTCCTCACAGGCTGCTGAGGTTCTCTTCACCACCTGCCGTGGTCTGCAGAGAATGTGGGCAGGCAGGGCTGCCTGACTTCCCTTAGCTCTGTGGCTCTCTCATTCTGACCACACCCCTCACTATGGTGGGGGGTAGAGGGCCACAGACTTTCCTCTTGGGGGGTCAGACTGTGGCTCACTAACCATCGTGATATATCTCCAAGTGGGATTGGAGTCTGAGCATCTGTAAAGGGAGATGAGGGCCACAGCGTGGGGCTTCCTGTGGAGGAGGATGTCTTCTCGGTTTTGAAAGCTGGTTTTCTAGCCAAGCAGTTTGAACTTGGAGGTGAATGTAGACTTTTATATTATTTACTATAATAGTTGAATGAATGATAACTCGTAGTTTGGGCCAGGGGAGAGACAGTCTTTATATTTTGGAGTAGGAAGCTTGCCCTCCCTGTGTAAGCTTAATCATCTCTAAAGGAATTACTTTAAAAATAAATCCCATAGGATTTGGTGTGTGGCACTATCAGGAAAGGATGTGTTAACTTACGTATTTTTCCATTATTACTTGCTAAATTATTCATTTATTTTTAGAATTTGGAATTTCCTCATACAAGCCATGAGTAATAAATTAGCCAGTGTCTTTATTATTTTGAAATGTTTTCTAAGTCTTCATCTGGTACTTCAGATTAGGCATGGTTAGGGCTGGGGATTTAGCTCAGTGGTTCCGGCGCCTGCCTCGCAAGCCCAAGGTCCTGAGTTCAATCCCCAGTACCAAAAAAAAAACCACCACATACACAGATTAGGCATGGTCATCAGAGCAGTATCTTTATGGCAAGCCTCCATCTAGTAAGTTTTTCATAGGCCATTTTTTATAGGTCATCACTTGATAAATAACAGCAGTTTCATAAGATTTGACTGGATATAGAGAAATTTTCGCAAAAATGTCATAAAGGAGAGTCTTGAGAACACACTTGTTTTCATCTTCAGAGAAGGATTTGCTTATTGCCTGATTCCTCCTATAGATTGATAAGAAACAGTACAACAAGATCCTGGAGCTCATCCAGAGCGGAGTGGCCGAGGGCGCCAAGCTGGAATGTGGAGGCAAAGGACTGGGCCGGAAGGGGTTTTTTATTGAGCCCACCGTGTTTTCCAATGTCACCGATGACATGCGGATTGCCAAGGAGGAGGTATCAGATATGGCATTCTTACAAGGGCCGCATCTTGCTTGGGATGGTTTCCAGGGCATTTCTAGTAGACAACATCAGCCTTTTAGCTCTTAGCAGTTTATACATGTTCATTTTGCAATAGCAATAAATGTGGCTATGGCTATGGAAGTTCCAGTTTCAAGAAAAAAGTTAAACCAAAATACAAGGAAGTGACATGGAGATGAGGGGATGCACTGTGTGACTGTGATTGTTATTAGTGAACTGAACAATCAAAATGACCAGTCAGTTCTTGAAAATACGGGCCACTAGATGGTTGACTAGGAAAGAGAAAACGTGCCAGCATCCTTGCGTCTGTGCAGGTGAGGGACAGGAGCGCATTTACCTGCAGTCCGGAGTAGTGTTTAGGGGTCAGGGAGAAAGTCACATTCTCTTTTGTACCTAAAAACACACCCTTGGATCACACAGGGATCAAATGATGGCAGAGAAGTTGGGGTGTGTCAGTGCTAAACTCTGAGGCGAGACTCACGTAATCTTACTCTGGGGAAGTTCAGAGTATTTTACAGTTTTGTGCTCCTAACCTTAAATGGCAATTAAATCATCAAGGCCAAGTAAACTTGCTTTAAAATGGGAAAGCAGATGGAGGAAGAGCAGAGCAGCCATATTGAGTCCAACTGTTTTGTTGCAGATCTTTGGTCCTGTTCAGGAAATTCTGAGGTTTAAGACTATGGACGAAGTTATTGAAAGAGCCAACAACTCAGACTTCGGACTTGTAGCAGCTGTCTTTACTAATGATATCAACAAGGCCCTCACAGTTTCTTCTGCAATGCAGGCTGGGACTGTATGGTAAGATCAGAGACAACCTCATTGTCCTGGCCCTGACCAATTCCACTGGTGCCATGAAGTCTTGTATTGGTTCAGTTTTCATTCCTGTAATGTATTACCAGAGGCAGGATAACTGTACTTGAAAAAGATTTATTTAGCTCACAGTTTTGGAGGCTGTGAGCCCAAACAGTGAAGGCCCCTATGGTTATGTTACTTCATGGTGGATGGAATGGCTAAAACACATGGGAGAGGAAGCCATTGCATCGTGGAGCACAAGCCCAGAGAGATAAATTCAGGGCTGGGGCTCACTCAGAACAACCTACTGTTCTAAGAGCTTTGGAGCCTGTGCTAGTTACTTTTCTCTCATTGCTGAGAAAAAAATACCCGACACCTAAAGTTAAAGGGGGAGAGACTTATTTGGCTCACAGTTTGTAGAGATTTCAGTTCATAATTGGCTGGCTCCAAGCCAGGCTGGCAGAGGGGCCACAGTTCATGGTAGAGGAAGACAGTAAAAGCAACAAGACACCATAACATCGTCCTTCTGCCTCTTTAATCTTATTCAGACTTAGGGTGAGTAGCACTCATGCCCTTAATCCTAGTGCCCTCCAGCCTAGTCCCACCATGAATCAATCACACACTCTGGATTCAGCCATCTCTGAAAAAAAGCATGAGGCTTTGGGGGGACTCAAGCCATAACAGAGCCCATGAGCAAGATCGAGATCTTAAGCCCCTCTGAGGGCAGCTGTCCCAGTGACCTAAGGACTCTTACTAATATCCACACCATCACCCAATATTACCACCGGGGCACCAGACTTCTAACACCCGAAGCCTTGGGGGAACAAAGCACGTCCAAACTATAGCAGGGCTTTATAGCTCTTAGGATCTAGGGTACAGTAAATTCACCCTATAAGGATGAGGAAGACCCAAGTCAACCAGGCTTGGATACACTTCTTACTGGCTAGATCAGTAAATCTCAATAGGTTGTAACCTACAACTTTCTCATTTGGAGAAAAGAAATAAAAAGTAAAACTAAAAAGAAATATCATACTAATCTGATGATTTTTGTGCAGGTGGAATCCATACTAACAATATTGTATGTTTTCTTCTTTCAGGATCAACTGTTACAATGCCTTAAATGCCCAGAGTCCCTTTGGGGGGTTCAAGATGTCTGGAAATGGGAGAGAAATGTAAGTGTCAAAGTTGCTAATGTGGGCAGAGAAATAGGGATGGCAAATACCATAGGATAGTTTCATTCTCTTCCATCCATTTATTTAACTAACATTTTGGTGTGCATGTGCTACTATAAACTAATAGTAGCCGTGAGTACAAACTCACTCTAAGGAAGAAGAGAAAAATTAATGTAACAGAAACTTCATGTAATAAGAGTCACTGAGGAAGGTAGGTCAAAAAATCTTGTAAATATAGAGTAAACACCCATTCATTTGGCCTGACGGGTTCAGAGAAGACATTACAGAGAAGGTAACAAGATAACATTCCAAGTTTTGGGCGGAGGAATTCACCAGCTGCCAGCCCAAGGGCCAGATGTGGCCTATTGAAACCGTCTTTCTTCACCACATTTGAGATCTTTACCTAAGACTCCAAAATGAAGAGGCTTTTCATAAAACCTAGAGTTTTTTTCTGCTAATTTTCACTCCCCATAACAAAATCGCCAGCTGTGACTCTGCACTTTGCCCACCAATCCTGTGCTTCCTGTTCTCAGCACTTCCTGCCATTCCCGTGTACCCCCTTTTGATCACCAGCTCAGACCCTGTGGGCTCCTTCAGATTGGGCCTGTGGAGTTAGGGCATAGGATCAACGGAGGGACTACTTGGAGATATAGGTGGAAAGGTTGGCTTAAACCGCTCTCAAAGATAGTGGCTGATACCCTTGGAAGGCTTGCCAGATGCTGCTGGACAATCTGCATTCTTAATTCTGTCTTAACCCTGGCAGTGATCCTCTAAGGTACCTGAGGTGCTGTAGTTGTTCCCATCTTACACATGAGAACATAGAGGTTCTGGGAGATTGAGCAATTTGTCCAAGGTTGCACAAGTGTTAAGTGCAAGAGCCAGGATCTGAGCAGTGTGATTCTCCAAACTTCTCTGAGCCTTGAAGCTCTCCTTGCTTAATGGTCTAACACTAGGGGCTAGAAAAGACCAGTGAAAGCATCTGAAGCAATAGGCTCATAGCACATTCCCCAGACACTGTCCTTACCTCTCCCACAATGCCGTTCTTCACTCTTACCTCACTGCAACTTTAAGTCACCCTGCAACCTTGAAAAATGATTCCCCTTTCTCCTTCTACTCAAGTGTTCCTGTCTTGGAAAGACCAGTCCAAGTCCCTGATGGGGAGTCCAGGGCTATACCCTGGCTGTTGTGGTGAGGGTAGCCATCTACAGGTTGCCTGACGGGGTGGCCTCTCCGTCTGGGCTCAGAGACTTGACCCCAGCTTTTCTCAGCTCTGCCTGCCCAGCCACTGTTTCTCTCTTGCTGTCCTTTCCCATTTCCTCTCCCCTGAGATGATAGGTGGCAAAGCACAAGCTGGACAACATGTGTCACAAACAGGGCTGGGAGGAAGCTGTGAACCTTAGCATTTTAGGAACGAAGGACACAGGCTTTGCAAATGGGAGTACGATGGGGTACTCTAAAACGAATGAAGGGGTGTGTGTGTGTGTGTGTGTGTGTGTGTGTGTGTAGAAAGGAATCACCTGTAGCCCGAGGGGCTGGTGTTGTTAAACATGCTTATCTGGGGACCCACTCTCAGAGATCCTGATTTAGTGGATCTGGGCTAGGGCCCAGGATCTGCATTTTTAACAAGCTTCAGGAATGATTCTGATGCAGGTGGTCTGGGGACCTCATTCTGAGAAATGCTGCTCTAGGCCAAATAAAAGTGCAGGGAAACATATTCCCTAAACAGAAACCCTGTTTGCTTTATGGGTGAGTCTGAGTGCTTCCTAAAACAGCTTGCTGGGAGCTACTAAAACCCAATATTTCCCTTACCCCTAGGTATTCTGTGCTTGGCTTATTTTAGGGATTATAAACCAGTCTGCTGAGAAGCAGGAAGACTGGCTTCTAAATGTCCCCATGCCCTGTGGCAGCGTACCTCTGTAAAAGTGACCACACACAGAGACAGGCACTTCCGTGGCAAGATGCTGGCCTTTATGCAGCAGGGCTTTTCCTTGTTAACCGTGGAACTGTACATGCCTCCAGAACTGGACTGGAGTAAACAGATTTAAGAGAAAGACGCGGAACGAGATGAAGTTGCTAGAGAAGCATCCACACTCCTGGGTTTCCAAGCCGTTGAGAGTGCTTCTCAAAGTGTGTGCCGGATGACCCCATGTGTCTCCTGGTCCCTCCCTGGACCTGCTGAGATGGGATCTTTGCTACAGGGAGGACAAAACCCTACAGTTTAATTGGGTGGTCACTTGTGTGTTCTGAGCTTCAGGATTGGCTGGCCTCACTGGACTCATCAGGCAGCTGGTGGCAGAGCCCTAGGTTTCTTCTCTGTCCCTTGCTTGCTGGTCACACTTCTCTAAGGCTTCTCCCTGGCACTCCTGGATGTCCTGGGCACACGGGCAGTGCACACTCCCTACCTGGGACCTGGCCAAAGAGCCAGAGCCAGCATGGTCCCCACTGCTTCCCACATGGAGCACGGCGGGATCCCACCATGCTGCAGCACATGACCACACCATGTCGCTTGCACGTCTGTCCGTAGACTTGCTCACGTTTCTCACCCAGATCCAACCCAGAGGTCCATGTGAGATGCAAGTGTGATCCAGGGTGTGCCCAAGTGTGTGCACAAGCCAGGAAATGAGGGAGTAACCCACTTCAGACAGAGCTACGGGGAGTCCTTAAAGCAGGGGCACATTCAGACTTGCCCAAGGGCAGAAAGGCATCTGGGGCAGCCAGGGCCAGGCTGGTCATGAAAAGAGCAGGCTGCTGGGGCCGAGTTAACAAGGGACCCGTACGCATGGGTGCTCCTCTCACTCTGAGAGGGATGCGCTGTACCGGCCAGAGGACACCACGCCTACCACCCTGCCTTGGCCTTCTGATGTCTCCTGGGCCTCGTCAATTTAGGAACCCCTGGCAAAGTGACAGAAACGGCTCCTGGGAGTCCCTGAGAGGAACCAGGAGGAGCCATTGACTTGTAAAGCCCAGTTGTAGAACTGCAGTTTTCACACAGCCTTTCTTCATCCCGTCCCACTCGGGGGCATCTCTGAGGGTTCTTTTCCTCTCTCCTAGTGGAGACCAGGTGGCAGCAGTGTAGGAGTGGGGAGGGAGGCAGGTGGAAGCTGTCTGTTCCCCTCCTCCCTCCCTGCGCAGGGCTGCACATGAGCTCACATGTTTGGTGAGGGCAGAAAGCAAGAGGCAAGGGCTCCAGCCCCGTGGGGGACAGGGCTCCCCTGATGCTGCTGGGCTAGAGGTGGGATGGGGGTTCTGGGACCCAGGAGGGGACCCTTCTCCCCAGGCCTTTAAACAAGAGAAAAGAAAAACATTTCCCTTTAAAAGAAAACGGGACACGCTTCATTTTACAATGAGATCGAGGAAAGGAAAAGCAGCTAAGGAGGTGAAGGGAGGAGAGGAGAGAAAGGAGGAAGGAGAGGGCTGTTGCAGCGAGCAGATGTGGCCACGTGGAGCCCCTTCGGGAGAGTGTGGGGGGGGGTGGCAAGGGCCCCTGGAGAGGCCACCCCACCCACCCCAGCTCAGCCCCCAGCACTGCAAGCTCTGCAGAGGCTGGGAGTTAGCTCGCTTCACTGTCCTGAAGTGAGCCCAGCTCAATAAGTGTATGATGACTGAATGACTGACAATGCTTGATCCATGAGAAGTCCCAGAGAGGAAGTGGCCAAAGAAAATCTGGAGGAGAAGAACTTACAAACAGTTCCCAGTTCCTTTCTAGCCAGCTCTTTTTATTTTGTAAATCTTTCCCCTGACTCTGTAGGGACATGGACAGCACTACTCAGGACTGCCTGGAAGGAGGCAAGCCTAGCAGTGACAAGCTCTTCGGGCTCATGATCAGGGCAGAGCCATCAAGAGAGGACACAGCATAAGCTGGGTTCTAGAGGACAGCTGCCTTGGTCCTCAGAGAGAACCAATGCTGACTCTGGATGGGACAGGTGGCCAAGGTGCTGAGACACCCAGTCCATTTCCTCCCTGGGCAGCTCTGGCCACAGCTCAGCCAGGCTGGTGCTGTCAGCAGCTGGGAGTCTCTGGCTTTCTTTCTGTGCAGCAGTGAATACATGCCAGCCTTTAACTGTAAGAAATAGTAGCTGCTCCTAAAGTGATACAAGAAGGCCAGGCTTGGGGAGTTCTGCATGGCTCCGCAAGACCTGCAGTTTACTGGTGATAACCTGCACCTCTCTGAGGAGTCCCGCCATGGTGCAGGCCTGGTTGCAGGGGCCTCTGTTGTCTGATCTGCCCGTTTCTGTTTCAGGGGAGAGTTCGGTTTGCGAGAGTACTCGGAAGTTAAGACAGTCACTGTCAAGATCCCTCAGAAGAACTCTTAAGAAGACCCAGGAGGAAGGTGAAGGCAGCCTGTGCCCTCCCCTCTGCTTTCTCTGTAGGGCCTGGTCTCGGAAGACAGAGCTGAGCTGTGGGCCTTCTTTACAGGTTGAAACGATGACATGGAAGAGGCAGGTCACTCAGCTGACACTGACCAGTGGGGCAGGGTTTCTGGGTCCTCCGGAAGGGGTCACCCTAGTGATGTCAAATATTGGGAGAAGAGGGGCATAGGGAGGGAGGAGCTGTAGGGCATAGTTAGTGTCTCTTTCTGGAGCCAGGGTGGGATAAGGGAGGTGGGTGATTCAATGCTTCTGTCACTGAGAACTTCCCTCACCAGGAAAGGTGGCCTTTGCGTTGTCTTCCTTTTCCTCCTTACAGTTTCTCCCCGATCACCAGCCCTCCCTATCCTCCAAGGAAATCTCAGCTGAGCTCATTTGGGGCAGATGTTTGGGCCGGGAACAATTTTCCAAGGTTTTGTAGCCAAATTACCATTTCATGTTATCCATTCCTTCAAAGCAAAACATGAAATGGTTTTAGTTAGAGCCAGACCAGACCGAAACTGCCAGGAGCTGGTACACTACAGATGTTCTAAGTAGTAAGAACCTGGGAAGTTCCTGACCCACTCTGCTTTCCTTAAATCTATAAATAATGGGAGCACAATATCAAGAAAATGGACAGTAGAGGTCATCATGCACAGGTCACAGCTTCTGAGCTTGTGGCAGAGTTTTGATGATGCGTGTGCGCGCATGCATGCGTTTTGGAGGAATGGTTGTCTTTCATAAATGGATAAGATCTCTTGCAAGCTTACCTTAAAACTGACCAAAAAACAATCCAGGTAGGCTTGAGAAGTTGGTGAGGCTGGGTGCTCTGCAAAAACAATCCTGTTTCCAGCACTGGCTTCCCGTTTTATGCAGTGAGTTACTGCTGCAGCTGGGACCTAACAGCATCCCCTGTACCCGCCACTCCCAGGGTTGTGGTGTGAGTCTGCTCCATTGTGCCCAAATCACGTGCCTGCAATCCACTGGCAGAAACCTTGGAGAGTCTGGCCCAGCCTGAGGGTTTCCTTCTCCACTTGCAGAGTTCCCGAGCCGAGAGTGCCAGTGCCCCACTGGAGCTCCTCTGCGTGCCTGGTGGTTCGTCCATGCACCACTCTGGCCTCCCAGCCAGCAAGCCTCGGCCTGCAGAGGAGGAGGCGTGAAGCAGGACTGCCTCCCTTTCCTCCAAACTCACCATCCTCCCCTCTTTCCACTGAGCCCCCCAGCTTAGTGGGGACCATGTTAGCTTCCTTTTCTCCTCTTTTCAGCTGCCAGATCCAAGCCAATCTCTAACCTAGATGAAGGGCATTTATTTAAAAGTATCAAACATAACCTAGTGAATGTGGAACACATATATAGCCTTCTGTATTTAACAGTTTCTGCTTTCTAACCATACCTGTTTTCTATTTATAACCCTTGTTTGTTTGTGATGTTTCAAAGAACTCTCTCCTTGCTGTTATTTACAAATGACAGTGCGGTCCGCAGCCCAGTGCCCCTACAGAAGCTGGCTTTCTGAGTCCTTCCATCGAATGCTCTGCTCTTCTCCCGTAGTGCATCGAAGCGAACATACCCATTAACCAACTAGTTACCTTTGAACTGCGATATAGAATGTGAAAATGAAGATTTATTTCTTTTAATTTACTTAAGAAGAAACCTGTGGTAGCAATAAAGCCTTTATATTGTGTACCCTTTGGCTGTGTCTGTCACTCTGTGCTACAGTAAGATGATCTGGGTCCTTCCCTTGGCTGCTGGGTTTTTCAGCTCTGTAACTCTCTTGGGTTACTGAGAGATATTCTGGGTTACTAAGAGGATATTTTTATAGACTAGATTAAGGTAAACAAAGTCTTATTTTGTGGCACTATTTAAAATCCCTGTGTGCACATAGTTTTGTGTGACAATGAAATAAAACAACAACAAGAACAACAAAAACCCAAATATGTGAATGACAGGTTTCATCCAAAATACCCCCATGGACGCTGCAGTGTGGAGCAACTTGAAGGGCCTGTTCTCAATAACATGAGCTCCACACAGCTATGGGCATTTCACAGTAGTGTATTTTTATTTACCAAAGTGAAATGAAGACAGAGGCTAACAATCTGCTAAGATATATTTGCAATCGTAAAAAAGAAAGTTGTAAATGGGGACTGTACCACAGCCTAGAGCAGTGATGGCGAACCTTTTAGAGCTTTCAGTGATAACAGCCCACTGCGGCACAAGTGCCATAGGTTTGCCACCAGCGGCCTACAGCTCTGAGTTATCGAAGCTGGCCTGTGGGCCTGCACATACTCACTTGTACGATGTAGCCTGGGGGAGAAGAGACATTTTCCTGGGTTGAGGTGCGGTGCTCAGTGCCCTGATCACGGGTGCCTGGAAGAAAGAAAGGAAACACAGGAGAATGCAGCCCCTGGGGCAAAGGGTAGAGCTCTGGTGGAAGATAAGGTCCCTGTGAATCAACCTCCTGTTCAGGGCCTTGAGCCCTCGGCAGGAAATGAGAAAACAGGTGCAGCGCACTTCTTCAGTCTCTGAGCAGTGCTGTTCCGATGCGTGTGGACAGCAGCGAGCTAAAGAAGGCAGATGCAAGAAAGCATTCCTGGAAAAGGAAAGCTTCCAGAGCCGGTGGTGAGGCCATGCCCATGAGGGATGGGCAGGAGAGAGAGGCACAGGTGCTGGCAGCTGGCCGGCCAGGGGTGCCTCGTGGAGAGGCAGGGGAGTCGCTGGTGGGAAACAGGGAGTGACAGCAGTGGCAAGGGCACACAGGTCTACAGCAAAGTGGGCGGAAGGAGTTTTCAGACTCAGTGACCAGGCAATGGCAGTGTCAGTGCCCTGAAGGCTAAAACTTTGAACAAAGTTTTGGGTCGAGAGCTTAACTTCTGACTTTGGTGTGCTAATTGTGGGGTGAAGAGACAGCCAGGTGGAAATCTCAAGCAAGCAGCTGGAACTTGGTTCAGGTGACTGGTGTGTGGCATAAGCATAAGAGGGATGACTGTGGACAGAGGGAGACAGAATGAAACAAGACGGGCCAGGAAGCACGCCCAGCTAGGAGGCTGGGAGTGCACAGCCTACCCCACTTCCTCGCATGCCCGGCACGGACACGGGGGGACACAAAGCCAGCCAGCACGGCTGCTTCTTGGAGGTCTGTGGTGTGGAGAGGGCTAGCTCTGCAGTCTCATACACCTCCTCCCAGGCACACACACCCAGCTCACAGGGAGGTGCAGCGCCTTCCCAGCATCCTCAGGGAGTAACCGCAGTGACAGCTCTGCCCACAGCAACACTGATGAGCAGCAGGGTGGAGTGGGGAACAGCGCCACTGAGGGTCACAGGAGAGGAGAAACTCTCAGGTGGAGTCACTTCACTTCCACAGGCCACTGTCCCTCCCTGTGTGACCTCTGTGCCCGCTTCTCTCTGAGAATTAGGCACCACCACAGATGATGCATAACTTCAGGGTGTCTGAGACATCATGCTGCCCGCCTCCAACACTGAACAGCTACAGAAAGCAAAATGCTGTCACCCTGTTGGTCAGACTGTGGAACGTCAGGACTCATCACTTCTCACCCCACTTTGAGGCCATCCAGTTCTCCACGACAGTTCCTCCAGGAAGCCTCAGAGCGGGGCTCTGAATATCTCAGCCAGCCAGGGGGAAGGGGGCCGATTGTGACTGACATTCCCCCAGGTCTGTCACTGTGCAATTACACCTGCAGGCCCAGGCCAGGCTCTCTGTGCCACCCTGAATGTCCTCCTCCGAGGACATTCTTGCTCGCCAGCAGAGACCAGCTGGGGAGGAGAGCATGGAAAGTCCACTCTGGTGCCACGGAAAGCCCTCTGCTCAGATGTGTCCCATCTGATTCTTGCTTGCTTATTGGGCAGGCCGAGAGGGAAATCAGACGACCACTTAGCCTTTGATGTGAATCTGCTTGGATAAGCTTTCCTTTGGCCAATTATCTGTGCAGCAAGGAGGAACCTGGAGCCAGCCTGGCCAGGCCCCATTTCTGCAAGAGCAGGAGCAGGGGCAGGGGCATGGGCTCTGTGGCTTCAAGGACTCTGGCTTGGCTGTTTGATTTGTTTCTCAAGAGCTGCCTTTTCTTCCTCTCCTCAAGAAGTCGATGCTATTCATTGGGGAGGCTTGAGTTGCCTAATTTCTTTTACGACATGGTTTCCCCAGTCTGTTTTCAGACATGTGCATCTGGTATCATGTTTTATATTCTGGGCAGCATAAAAAAGACAGCAGCTCAAGCTTTCCTGAGCTGGAGAGAGCAGAGAACCTGTAGTTCCTGCCCACTCTGCAGGGGAATGCAGGGATGGTGGGAGCCTGGGGAGGCCTCTGCCTTTCCGTTTCCAGGCAGATGCGTTCGATCTGTGGTCTTACATGGTATTTTCCCCAGTTCCTCCCGGTTGGCAGCTTTGACAACTCCCAAGGCTCCCAGCCTTGAGAACCCATAGTGTTTGAAAAGCCAAGCAGAGGATCCATTTGTCAACATCTGAAGCCCAGTCTCCCAAGCTAGGTTTGTTAATAAACAACACAGGTTTCACGTAAGATGGACTAGAATCCAGATGCCACTTGTTAGTACCTTTAGCTCACACTCCCTGTTGCTCACCACACCCTCAGAGCCTGAAGCACTGACTGCTCCCGGCCCAGGAATGCTGTGCTGGAGGACATGGTGTGTCTGCTGGGGAGGTGGGGATAGGCTCCCTGGGCCATGGGGAGGGGTCCTCACACATTCCCAGCCTACTCTCTGAAGTCCGGAAAGAAGTGCTTTCCAGTGGGCAAAGGAACAGAATTCCAAAGCGCTCCACCACTCTAGCTGTGTGCTCTTGGAAACATGGCCATTCTGACCTCGGGTTCCTCACCCGCAAAGTGGGGTGGTAAAATCCCCAACCTCACACCACTGTCAGAGGTGGAGCAATAACATGCGCATAAAGTGCTCAGCCCCCACAGTGAGAGCTCAAGCAAATGGTAACAACTAAAAAAAATAAGTAAATAAAAAATACAGAACCAATATTCCCTACAGCTGTTGTCCTGAGAAAGTTGTACATCTCCTGTTTCCCCAGAGACGGTTCCTGTGCAAAGCAGGGAGGACACAGGCATCAAGGCAGACTTAGAACATGAGACTAGAGCCAGTAACTTGGGGACACTGGGATGTAGGAAGGACAATGACCACCGGAAAATAGCTTGTCTCTGCCCAGTCCATCCAGCTGTACAGGCTGAGTCCCTGAGATTCAGAGTTCTTCGTGCACAAGATAGTCCTTGCCCCCATCTATCCAAAAGACTAGGTAATAGGAAGGGGCCGAAGTTAAACTGGTGAGGGAGGCCAGTGTTAACTCACAAAGGGCTTCGCCCACCTGGTGTTAAGTGTTATCTGGGGTGAGCTTATAATTACTAATCGCCATTGTTATCATGGCTCCCAAACTCCAGGAACACAATGGCTTTTTTGCTGGGAGTAGAAATGACTCATCTAGTTCAAAAATTGGCATTCAACCCTGGCAGCCCTGGGGAAAGTGAGGGTGATTCCCCTCGAAGAGAAACATTCTGAAAGCAGCTGCCCTCCCTAAGGCCACCAAGTATGACTCCAGGAGAGGCAGGGACTGCCACGTGTGGAAAACAAAACCTTCTGCCAGCACAGACAGAGCAACATCGGCTCAGCCTGAAGGGCAGCCGACAGGAAAGCTGAAAGATGTTCAGGTCAGTTCTGCGGCTTGTTTTGTTTCATTCCTATAAGAAACTGCTATTCTTCAAACTAGATGCAGCACTTGCCCCAGGAGGAATTGATAACCTTAAAAACCTAGGAAAAATAAACTCCTGGCAGAATCTGCCCAATCTGAGGGTGTGGCCTTGAGGCATGGTGACCCAAGATTCTGATTTGGCTTTTTTCTCCCTCCTTTTCCCTTGTCAAAGATAACAAATAAATTTCCAAAGCCACATACATATTGGAAACAGTTGTCATTTTTTTTTTCCAATTACCTTCAGCAATATCAAGGACTTTGTAATAAAAAAGGCTTGTCAGAAATTCTTTTTCAGAAAACAAAAACCACAGTTTTAGTCTTGTCTACTCAACACATTGTTCAGAAATGTTTTGGTAACCTTTAAGCCCAACTCCAGAAGCTCTCTTCCCATACCCTCCAGTTAAATTTTTTTTTTTTGATTTTGAAGGTCATCAAGACTTCGGGAGATGTGCTTATTTATGTGGGATTGAGTCACCACATCTCTGTCCTCAGCTGAGAGGGCAGGGAGGTACCACACTCGAAAGAAGAAAGTGTTTCACAGCATCCAAGCTGTGCTGGGAGGAGAAGGGGTGCAGCGGAGTCGACCACAGCTGCCTCTAGGGATGTGGGGGTCTCAGCCTGCTGAGGTGGGGCAAGGGTGTGGACAGGTCTGCAGGGATAAAGGCAGGGAACCAGCTCATGGAAGGCTGAAAAACCCTGCAGTTGAGGAGGGAGTTGGTCTTTAATGCCACAGCCTGCCAACTCTGGTCTTCCACCTACCATGGCAGGGCCTCCAACAGATGTGTGCGTCCACAGCAGCTGCCAAAGATGGAAGCAGTTCACGGTCCACCAAAGTGTTGGTGGATAAGCAAAATGGGCCATGTATGGAAATATAGTTTTTCCTTTCTTATTTATTTTCTTGTAGTGAATCCCAAACTACTCTTCTTCCTTCTGATAAAGACTGAAATTACATGGAATGGTTCCCTTTAC